TTTAAAGGGTTAAGAGCATAGATCGACGACTACATTTAACACAAATATTCAGGATTTGCAAGAACAAAAGCATCTCATAATAGCCGGACCACCTGGTCTTTCTGGAAGGCAGAATGAAGAGTTGATCCAGGTGAAGCAAAGTGAGCATCTCGTCCAATTTGGATTAAAAAACATGGGAATTTTAAATAAGCAGCAATACATCCTGAAAATGTTCCACACTGAGCCACAAACTACACTTACTGCACACACTCTACTTATACCTCACTGTTGTGGCCATTTTTGTTGAATGTTTATAAAACGCAATTTGTATTCATTTTTGTTTTTTCTTTAAAGTTGTAGGAATATGCTGACCTAGTTTTGTTATGTAAATTTGTAATTCATTTTATTGGAAAAGTTTTTGGAAAGTGATTGGTTTATTGGGTTATGGACCCTCCCATTAATCAGGGGATTAAGAGCACCCTGGAGGGGTGTGGTAAAGATGGTTTTTCCCAAATGTCTGATGGGAAGACGGGAGGGTTAGAAAATGATTTTATTTTATTTTTTTGACCACTTTTGAAGTTGTTAAAGCAAATTGAGTTAACTTTCGTTTAATTGTAAGTTTTAAGAAGTTATTTGGTTGATTTTTGTTTATAATTTTCTACAAAATAAACAACATATGATTTTTAAACAATGGAGTCAGAAGTGCGTCTAAAACAAACCTTCTGTTGCCACCCACGGCCTTTTCTTGGACTTTTTTGGTGTTTGGAACATAAAAGGCCGTGACACTCACTAAACACAATCAGCTATGTGGAGCACGGTGTCTCATTATGCATCACCACATACACAACATTGTGATGTTAGGGGGGACAGACAAGTGAAGCTGCCCTTTCTGTTTAACTACAAATTTAGCTGAGAAGCCAAAATATAAGAAAACAGTTTTAATTTTTCTACATGATAAACAAACAAACGCTGCTGCAGAACAAGAAATGTGTCCGTGTGATTCTTTGGACTTAAACTGTAAGACAAAAATGGTGAAATGAAAGAAAAAGTCTGACTGTACTGCAGTTACAGAGTAATTACAAATGTCACTTTTACATGAATGTTTTTTACTTCCCAAAGGGTCACGCCGTCACACTTTCTGTCTAGTGGGCCAGATTTGAGTTTTTACTGGGCCAATTTTGGCCCAGGGCCTTATGTTTGACAGCAGTGGTGTAATAACAGAAGCTAAAGCTGCATTCACACGAGAGTGTCAGAGAAACGGTGACGTTACAGGAAAAGCACAGAGAAGAACAGACGAACGTCAAATGTCGTGTTCGTGGTTACCTGTGACGAGCCAGGTGGGCAGGCGGTGGTTCAGCTCCTGTTTGTGGTCTCGGAGAGACTCGTCTGTCATGACCTCGAAGTTGAGGATGAACATGATCACCACGCCATCCTCGTTCTTCACCGGCACCACATCCACCATGCACAGGATGCACTGGCCTGCAGGGGGCAGAGCAGCAGATGAGCCTCCGTCACACTGGGACAGGTTATGATGGCACAGGCAGCGAGGTGGTGGTGTTATTGGAGCAACATCAAAGCACAGATAAGAGCAGAGTTCAAGCTTTGTGTAACGACTTTGCGAACGTCTACATAATCAGTTTGTTGAATCGTGTGAGCGCCTCAAATGCATCCGTGCATCTCACGCTGTGAATTACAAAGGCCTGCTGTCACACACACACTCAAATATACTAAAGTACATGGTTCTCTCTCCTTATTAAATGTGCATCTGTGTTTAATCAGCTCACACACCATCTTACATACGAGGCTAATCTGCCACACGAGTGCTAAAACAGCTAAGTAAGCGTGAAATGAAACCACACACGGGAGAGCGTCGCACAAACACAAAATAAGCTGCTATTCTGCTTTTGACACCATGAATGTGAGCTTGCAATTGCATTAACATGCATGTGTACACAGCAGCATCGTTATCATCCTCATCAGCAGCGTAATGTAAAATGATGATGATGACTATTGCAACATAGTATCAAAGTGGAGGAAATTCCACGACATCTATTAACCCTTTAAGACCTACCATAGAACCAAGTC